CCTCTTTTCTCTTTTTTTCCATCCCTCGTTCTTCGCTCTGGAGACGAGAGCACCGTTTTCACCCCCCTTCCTCCATTCCAGTCCATCACACTGTGGGATCCAAACTGTTTCCCTGAAAAGCTGAGTGGAATAATCCCATTGACATTTTTCAGATTGCCCCTTTACAGAATAGTGATGTGCACTGCTAATGGAAGGGAAAAAATAAAAAATATCTCTTTGATGGTTACTAAGATTAAGTAATGGCACATTTGTATTACTTAACAAGTTTTGATTGAGAAGAACATAATTAACAAAAGACCTTATTCAAGCTTTAAAGAAAACCCTGAAATTATAGGCTGAGAGGAATTCAATAATTTGCCAGTCTTTAGTCTAGCTTTCCAGAAGCTACTGCTTAAGCACATATGATATTAAGTTCCAAACAACGTGCTACATTTCCATAATTATTTCAGACTAGAATATTACCATTTTCTAAGACAATACATGTGCTTTTTGATTTAATATACCGATTGAAGCAGTATTACAGTACTGTATTGTTCTTTCTGAGAACTGGTCTGTTTCTATTATGCTATATGCCAATGTAATTTACAGTTTTGCTCTGAAGCAGAGGGATATGGGTGGTACTGCCCAATACAATCATGTGTCTTGCAATCTTCTCCTAGTTTGAGGGCTAGACAAGACTTTTGTGGCATGTCTACACCCTAGAAGCACGTGGAGCCACGATCTGTTGGAGTAAGGGTAGATGGGAAGTTTTATGTTGTGAATTAATGCTTAGTTGAAAAATTTAGCCCTGACCACTCTGGGATGGATCACTCAGGGGAAGAAAAAATTCAGGCCCATCAGTTTTGATGGTTGCTCCCCACATACCTCAAACAAACAAATTAAGTTAAGCCATCAAAGGCTTGTCCGTTCCTATACTAACCCATAAAGAAAGCTTATGGCTGGGCTCATATAATATACTATGCCAAAACCAAACAACTTATATTGGAGTGTAGGGTGTGAATCCTAAAAATGATATGAACGAGCAACCTGTTCCAATACAGTTTTCTGTTGCATCCGGTAACCTGTAAAGTTGTCATTACAAATGAAATTGTGTAATTATTATATAATTCCTAACAGGGTACATTTCAATCCCCAATGCACTTTTTCAATTTATTTTTTTACCACGGGTTTTGCCATGGTAGAAAAAGATCATATGGCAGGTAGCAACCAACGCTCACTTACAGTACCAGTTGTGTTTGTCATTTATAAACTCCCAGTTTTTCTACTCGTTAGCTCTATACTGAGTTTAACCACTCAGTCCCATCAGAATATCAGTAGCTATGATGCTAAGCTATTAATACTATATAGTAGAAAGAAACCAAAAGGAGTAAAATATTTCCTGGAACACTGTAACAAATTTTCCTTTTTAATGTCTCAGTCTGAAGATCCAACTTTCCTAAATTTAATACCACATTCCTGTGGTAACAATAGCCACACTGTTAAATTGTTCAATAAGAGTATTGAAGTCTCAACATGATTTCAACTAATGTTTACCAGGTACTTACAACTTATGTCATAAATTTAACCTAAGAAACATTTGTGTAATTCTATAAAGATTTGGCCTTTGTAAAATGGCTACAATAGGGGTTCTTTTCATATAGGCTGTTCTGGATCATTTTCAGTTGTCTTTGAATCATTTTAGGAATTTTAAAAGTCATTTCCTGCTGTGTTTTTATATTTGATCTTTTGAAATCCAAAAGCTGCTGTAGGGCCGATTGACTATATGGGCCATGTGTAGTTAAACAGAAGTACACAGGAAGGGGGAAAGCCTGCTGCTCAATAGTACAGCATATGGATTGTATGAAAATGTAATTGGTAGGGCTGAGAACACCCTGCCCCCCCCAAAAAAACCCTGTAGAGCTCTCTCCATTTGTTAACATGAAAAGGACTTAAGTGAGAGCATCTACGTTTAGCTAGATGTAATTATTACAATCTGGAATCCTAATTGTCTCCACAGAATAGGATATTCTAAGCAATCTTGGAAATAATTTCACAGCAGTCTATCTTTTTTTTAAACACTGTGGATGCAATTATATTCATGCACTTTGCATAATTGTGCAGATATGGTAGATTACATTAGCAAGTTTTGTTTTTGATCCCATTGGAGCAAATAATTTAATGGTTTAAAGTTTAAAAATACTGTCTTCAATAAATAAACCCACAACATTATAGATAAAATATTGTACCCCAGTGAGGTTCTTCATTTCCAGATACTTCAGCAGTTACACTCGGATTCACAACCACTGAAGCTGTCAGAAACAGAGATTATCTCTTCCTGTGGTTTATGCAACACTCCACTTTGTTCTTTTGGTTGTTACCACAATAGCTAGATCATATACTAAACATAAAGGGAAGTGAAAGTGACAGTCCCAGCATACTGCAACAGCAGTGAAGGTGCAATTCTAATATTAAAACTATTTGTTTTCTTCATTTAAACTGAAACATTTTTAAAAGGCCTTACCAACTTGCAGTTTGCTAAAGAGAGCAATGGAAGCAGATTGCATTTTGTGGGGAATGCAAAAAGGTAAGATTTTAAAGTACAAAACAAGGCTCAAAATTACATGGCCAAATATACATTTGTCCCGTGCTTTTGGTTGTTATTTTTTTTAATAAATAAAACATTTTCATTTATAATACATAAAGTTTTATAAAATACCAGGATAGATAAGGCCCAGCAGCAGAAATGTGGTTTAAACACATTCATAGCCTGTGCCATAAGTAATATAGTTGAAAATCAGCCACTTTTTAGCAGAATCCTCAACCTCACCCCTTACGGGACCACAAATCAAAATGCAAACCTGAAATTATTTGTTTCCACCAAGAGCACTTACCCATTCTTCTCACCCTTGACTACTCTGCAAGGCTAGTAAAACAGAACAAGAAATGGACCCTCAACTTAAATTAAGAGCAATCACTGTGGTTCAAGGAGAGTGTACAATTTTCTTCAAATCTCTCATATGCAGAAGCCATCCAAACTAGGCACAGTGGAAGACCAAATGATCATTAACTCCAACTCCCTGAGACCCACGTGTTAACTTACCTGATGGGAGGCATGTCTGTGGAATAGAGATCTGTCTCTGTATCAGCCAGGAGCACAGCTTTCATCCCTCGAGAACTAAGCACTTGTTGGCAGAACTTGCAGAACAGCACAGACACGCATCGATCTGCGAAACTACAACCGCTGGCAGACATACTAAGGTCAGGCTGGGTGGGTGGGGGCTCCAGCGCGTCCCTCAGCTTCTCTCAGTAGGGCAGATAAGGAGCCTGCTCTCTGGGTGGAAGCCAGTCCTTCTCCTCTTCTCAGCCCTTGCTCACAGTACTTAGCTACTCCTGTTTGCTCAGTAAATCCGTGACAACTGACTCCGCTTAGTGCTGTATTCACCGATACCAACCTTTATTAGCAACCTAATCTCTTCCTTTTCTTTTCCTAGCCTGCATGAGTGAGCCAGCAAGAGGCAGGCTCGGTTTCAGCCATGAAATGCACTGGTCGCCCCGAATTCGTCCAACTCGCTCAACCTTCTCTCTCTCACAGGGCTGGCTTGAGCTTCTGGAGGTAAGGCGGGATTCAACTGCAGGAAATATAAACACTCAGTAGAAGCCTATCGGGATTTGACGGGACTTTTCTCCAAGGCCTCGATTATTTCTCTTTATTAATTACCCCTCTTCCTTTCGACAACACAACCCCCTATTATTAACCGCCTCTCTTAACTATTCCCAACTTTTAGGGCTCTCAGAATCTTTCTTTATTTCTCAACTACTCACTGAATGATCCTGAAGATCCAAATTTCCCGCATTCCCGTCAGCGCCCCGCAAATGGATGCTTGCCCCACTCCCCGAGCTGCTTAAAACCCCAAACGTAGGTAGCCTTCCGTTCGCTGTCAGTTTGAATCTACAGCTTCACATCTCATTGGAAAATTCTTGACCCGCCCCCGGAGAGTGACGGGTAAAAAGAGATCGACATCAACCATTGGAGGGACTAGGACATTTTCCCGCCTCTCATGACGCAGAGGAATGAGGCTACACCCCTTACTTAGGATTGGTTTGCTCAGGACTCATATTTACATATCCCTTCCCCTTATGAATGCGAACCAACTGGGCTGAGCTTCTGCTGTTTGAGAATCCTGAATGGTCTACTTCAGTCTTTGGTGGGCGGTGCCCGTACGGAAAAGTGGCGGGATCGAGGGTGTGGAGAAGAGAAGGTGGAACGTTCCATTGGCTCGCGTGGTTGGCAGTTTTCGGAGTTTTCGATTCCGATTGGTGTCGCAAAATGGAATGGGCGGGGTTGCAAGAGTGGGACTGCGGAGGGAACGGATCGCGGGAGTATCCCGAAGAACGCGACGCGTGGAAGGCGGCTCCGTCTGTGCCGTAAGTGCAGGTAATAATAATCGCGTCTAGGATGGAGGAATTTGAAGCCGTGCTCCAACTTCAGTTTGAGCCAGCACCCTATCCCATAATATTCCTTAGCGGGGGTCCGCCCTCCCACTGCGTTCCCGAACTTGACTGTAATTAATAGAATTGTAGCCCCGTGCCAGTTGGAAGCCTACTTTGATGTAACCCTTCTTTGGGAGAATGTGAGCGTTCCCTGTCCCGTAATATTCCAGACTCGCCCCCCACCCCCCCTTGAGCAAACAACAGATTTTAACAGGATCGAGGCTCCATCCCATAATACTTCTCATTGCGACAAACCGGAGAGCTGAATTGCCATATTTCCCTGCGGGAAGAACATTCCCCTACAAACTGTCTCCTGCGACAAAGCTCTGTCAGGTTAGAGTCCCGATCTCGTAAAACAATTCCCCTAAAACTGCCTCAAAAAACGTGTTCCGAGTGCAACTTCCTGTATTCTAACTCGTCCTTTCGCACAATCGGCTAGAGTAGCCCGTACGAGTAATGCTTCCAGGAAACGACCCCTTGTAAAGTAGAATTATGCCAACCCACAAGATCCCTCTTTCTGAAAGATTCTTTCTAACTAGTTCTCATTTGTTAAGCAAGCATCTGTGGAATACTTATGCACAGCCAACAGCTCCCTAGTTTTACTCGCCCGACAGCATAGCCGCTGTCCCCTCCCTCCCCAGTCTGGTATTTTCCTTTCTTATATCCTAGTCTTTATAACAAGAAGAAAAAAAGAGCTTTGTCTCAATTTTCTGTAGATCCACTAGGCTAAAGGCAGCCCACCAGCTACGTATGGATGGCCTTGTAAAACAGAATGTCACTTACCAGATCAGCTGGAAAACATACCTGATGGGATGTGTTCGGTTTGGTGGGTCAACAGCTTGGGTGGGGATGGAGATGAGGGGTGGTCTAGTATAAATAGACTAATTCATGTTTAATTGTATTTAACTTCTGAATAACCAAATTTTCATGTCTCAGGCTTGAATCTGTCTACAGCACTGTAGATGGGAATGGGGGGCGGGTTAATATATTTTCAGAGGTATTTCACAGCTGATTGATGTGACAAAAAGTATTCCACACTCCTTTGGAGTTAGCCACACTTTCTCTTGGTTTGTTTGCCCTTACTCTGTTTAGCCTTTACCATTTCCTGTCTCTGTTGACCACATTCTTGGTCTCTTTGTAGTGGATCTTTTTTTCTTTGTCTGTAACCCCATCTTAACATTTGTGGCCAACAGTAGCTTGTGATCCTAAAGCAAAAGTTGTGCCCTGACTTCCCCCTGCTGAGAGACTTGCATCTGTCTTTGAGATGTATTTCCTTAGTCCAAATTGGCTTTGATGTCTGCATCAAGTACATTTTTTCTTTGCTCTTACAGTATGGTGGAGGATAAATCTCTGCAAAATTAACAGTAATAAAAATCCTTAAATCTGATCTGTTGGCTGGATTAGAGCTGCAATTTTACTGTACCAAAGGGGATTAGCCATGTTTATACAATGGCTTTGGATGCATTTGTGAGCCCTTGTGGCTCAAATAATATGAAGATTTGGGCTTGGCTTCCCTTTTTAGCTTTCCATATTGCTGTGTCTATAGTTGTTTTCTCTCTTGTTTACTTTAAATAAATTGCTTTCTTTGCTGGTTGAGTTTTCTTTGTCTCTCCATTTCCTCATTTTCTTGGGTTTCATATGTCCTAATAATATGGCCTTTCACAATCTGCCCTCTCAATATAGTTATTTTGCACTTTTCTTTAATGTGACATATACTGTTATTACCATTTGATCAGCACTACATTTTATTATCTTGAAATCACATTGGTAGCATTGAATCTGTTTATGTAATCATTTGCCAATCCAATACATATTTGAATTTACAGGCAGTTGAATAGAAGAAAGTGGCTTGGAGCTTTTTTCACTTCTACCATTGGGGATTTAATTTCATCATCTCTGACTCTGTCCTTTAAAAAAAGAAAGAAAGAAAAGCAGCAACAGCGAGACCCACACACAACATGTTGTTGCGCAGAAGGACTTCCATTCCCTGGCTGTGCTATTAATGTTAGCAATCAGGAAAAGCCTTTGGGGGCTGCAGATTCTCTGTAGTCTGATGCTGCTGCTACCACCACCGCTGCTGCTCAGGATTTTGGTGCAGGAAATCCAAACTGCTGCCTTCTCTGTCCGTTGAGCTCTTCACATCTGCATGTCTCTGCTGCTCGCACACGCACCATCTCACGCCCTCTCTCCATGGACTGATTGCTGTTGAGGAAAGACAAGCCTGCCCAAGTGATTGTTTTGCTTTTTTTTCCCCTTTGGGAGGAACACAAATTATATTTATTTGTGATATTCTGGGGGATCTGTTTGGTGGATAACCTTTTTTTGCGGGGGGGAGGAAAACATGACGTCGCCAGCTAAATTAAAAAAAGATAAGGAGATCATAGCTGAATATGACACTCAAGTCAAAGGTAAGGATTAAAAAATGGATCTTATGTGTATCTATGTGCATATGCGTTTCAGCCTTAACTTGCTAATGCATGCATTCATACTACATGTTTGGGTGTGGAAAGGCAAAGCATTTGCAGATCATCAGGAATTTGCAGAGCTTTTCAGTAGTGCATGTTCGAAAGGTTGACAGTGATTGCTGCTTCATGGGGTGGATTCTTAGTGACGACTATATTTTCAAATATCTTTTATTTTATGAAGTCTTTATTTCATCTTCATATGTACACATACAAAAGCACACCAATGCATGACAAAACATGTTTTTTTTAATAAATGTGGCAAACAGTTTTATTTTGATGATAAATGGTACTTGTCCTCTGAGAAATGTCTGTAATAGCTTAAGAAGCTTTGTGGCTTGGCAGTATTATGGATTTCAGCTTGTAGGAGCTTTTTACAGCTGTATGCACCAAAAGGCTTTCACTCTTCATAAATGCCTGCTGTGTGTGCACACACCCTTGGCAGCTGGCTGCAATGCCCTTCAATTTAAACTGCACAGGGATAATGATAAACTGTTTCAGTAATTCTATGCTCTTTTTGGCAAGATGGCTATTAAAGGTTGTGTTGCATTTGCTACAACAACTTGATGGACAACCTTCATGCAACAATATCTAGGTGGCATTAAACAAGTGGGCTTGGCTTCACACCACCACATGTCTTGCGTGACACATTAAAGAGATGCTTCCCTCATCCTTTTGTGTCTGCAAGTTTTCAGCATTACTTCATACATGTGGAGTATGGAACCTGCATCCATACAGCCTGACAAAATGCTGCTTATTCAGGAACTTTGAATGAGAAGCTTTGTGTGTACATAAGAGGATGCATCTGAGTGGCTATGAGTTTCTGGGAAATAAACTCTGCTCTAATTGTGAACTAAATGTGTCCTATATCTTGGTCTGTTGTCTTTTAAATAATATTGATATTTGATATATTCAGAGTTATATCACTCTCTTTCCCATGTTCTGATTTTTTTGCATTACACAGGAGAGGCAAGGCATTTTCCTTTCTTTTTTTTAAAAGGAAGATATGAAAATTAGGTCATAAATGGCATTTTAAAAACTGTTTTGGGATTCCCAGGTTGGAGGCAGTAGGCAGTCAAAGCATTTTTGTCTTTTCCTCTTCTTTCTTCTAATGTTAATATAATCTTTTGCTTGGTGAGCTAGCAATGAGAGGTTTGGGATTCCAGTGGCCAACAGGAGGCACTGATTCAGTAAAGCATAGCCTCTGTGGATTGCTGTTTAGGTTAGGTGTTTAGGTGGTCCTAAAATGCAGTTTCAAAATAAATGCATAAGAGACTTGGATTTCCTTTGTTCCAGGATACAGAAGGGAGGGTTCCCTCCTCCAGCTTTTGAAACAATGCAAAAGGCATTTGTTATATTCTCAGTGACTTAAAGGCATTTGTTATGTTCGCAGTGACTGTTTAAATATTGTAGCCTCCATTCTAAATGGAGGCATGATTGATTCAGCAGAGTCAGAAACAGAATTCCATGCCTTGTTGCAAAAATATCCAACTTATTCACTAAGAACAATGCAAATTTTGTACTTGGAGCCAGATTAATGAAATAGAATACATTTGGATGTTTTAAAAACTTTTGCACTCCTATAGATAATTCCCCCAAAGATACAGTACTAGCATGCATTTTAGTCAGCTTGACTGTGTCTGCTTCCATATCAGTTGCTATTCTTTGTGGTCATGATGCAAATTCCAGCTATGTGCGTGAAGGGAAGAGATTTTCCAGCTTTGCAACTTGTGTGGAAAACAAACCAGGTGGTGATGGAGGAACTGGTAATTTGTTGTTATTATTCCATTCATTCACTGCACGGAATTCATGATTGTCTATGTTGACCATGCAGTATGCAAAATTCAAGAAAAGATACAGTAAGGCTTCTGGTGAATGGGAGGATGGCAGAGAGTAAAAGCTAAAATCTGATCCAATGATGATATGGTTATCTCTCCTCTATCTGCAGGTCTATGAGACACTGGCTCTGCTTGGTATTAAAAGGAACATTTGATTAATGTTTGGGGCAGTGTCCAGATATGTTGAAACTATGATTTCCAGAATTCTTATGGGTAATTGTGACAGCAGATTCTTGGACTTATAATGTCAATACAACTGAAAGCTTGCTAGTTTAGAGGGATATTAAAAAAAATGTTAACGTTAACAGCTTTGATTAGTTATTGAGTTTTTAAATTAAAAATACTGTCTTGAGTTTTAACTGACCTCAAGGAGAGAATAAATAACTAGAGAATCCTAGAAAGTTTGTTTTCAGTGGGATTCTGGGAGTGCTGCCAAGTTTCACATTCTTGAAAGACAGGTGCAGATATGTTGAATACTTAATCCTGCCCCCTGTCCTATTGATAGGAGATACTACACTCTTGGAAAGCCAAGTGGTAGCACAGTCTTAATTAGTTCCTGTAGAATATTTATTATTCATTTATTATTTTTCCTCCCCCTTTTCATTATTGAAAAAATTGTTTGCATCTGAGTAACAACATCAAAAGACGTATCCTATGCAGAGCAAGAGGAAACTGCTGTTCTGTTGTGCCCCTACTTGTTTCCATTGTATCTTCTGTCATATTCTTCATTGGTGCTTGGGGATATGGGTGGCTTCCACTTGAAGAATAATGTTAGAGCTTTTTGGTCCTTTCCTTCATCGACAAAGTGATTTCCACCATAAATGTCTGAAGTTGATATAGCGCAAATATGTATGTGGGCATTTAACTTGCATATTATGAGAGCAAGAGCCAAGGTGCCTTTGATTGCTAGGAGTTAAGAACGATTGAACAACAACAACAACAAAGAATGCTAAACTGTACTAAGCGCTGATGCATGGAACTAATTAGGGTGGCTGTTCTAGAATCTTGGCTTGGGTGATTTTGGCTCTTGAATTAAATTGATCCTTACGCTATTCCTGATTTTCCATTTTCTCATCTTCTAAGCTTGGATCAAAGAGGGCAACTTGTGGTCCTAGAGCTATATGTCTTTGTATCCTAATTTCATCACAGCCTGATTTCAAAAGACTTGGCATGTGATTAATTCTGGCAAAGCGATCTGACTCTTTCCTGTTGATGCTGTGTGCCGGGAAAAAAAAGGTAGTTTCACCCACTTTTGGCTCTGACTCCATCTCACTATTTGCCTGGAATGGGTGTATTAAGTCAGTACAAGTAAAAAATCAAAGGGAAAAAGAAACCAATTTTTAAAAAGGGGCTTTCCTTGGTATTGCTTCCTGGTTGAAGTAAAGGCACTGCCAAGTATCAGTAATCCTAATTTTCTGACTTCTGTTTCCAAAGGCTGCAATCTGCGTGTAAAATTTAGAACTCAGCCAAATATTCTGGATGGGCATTAGGGAGAAATAGGAGGAATTTGTTTTTTATTGGTTTCTTTCTCGGCAGTGCCTTAACTGAGAGTTGCCATAGCTCAAGCTTTTGGGGAGGACTTTCCCCAAGTGAGGGGTTCCTGCTTGTAGTTACTTAGCTGTGAGGATGAGGTTCTCTGCTTATATTCACTGCCATGTTCCCGGCCTCTTCGAAAACTCAGTTACCAGATCTAAACATTTAATTGTTGGTAGATCCTGGATTTTTTATTCTTCTGATTGGTGGCACAGGCAGAACAAATGTACTCTTTCCCTCCAGTTTCTGGTTGTTTATTGTTTTGGAAGAAAACCTTTTTAGAAATAGAGTACACTCATAAAGTTAATTGCTTCAACCTTTCAGACCTAACTTTTTAAAATACTTAATTAGTAGAGGAAAACCACTGTTCTCAGTGATGTGGGAATACCTCAGATAAGTAGTCAGATGCCATGCGCAAGAGCTTAGCAATATAAGTATCTGAAGTGACACCTAACTACAAACTCCCTGAATGATTCCTCAACTTTTAGTGGTTTCTTTTGAAAGAATGCTTCTCTTTACAAAAATCTGAAATGGAACAATGTATGAAGTAGAATAAACAATAACTATGTAATACCTTTGTAGTACTTAACTTGCGCTATTCAGGTGACCCCCCCCCCAAAAAAAAATCAAAGGTATTCCCCTACTGGAAAACTGTAAGCTTCAGAAGTAAGAGTTATGAATATTTCCCCAGAGGATGTGTGAGAACTCTGAAAGAACCATCCATTTTCTCTGTATATGGTTATGATTATTTTTGTGATATGCAAGATAGGGTGAACCCATCTATCACAAAAACATGTGAAACTCAATTGCTTTGAAATCCTCTCTTCATATCTGCACTCCTAGAAAGCATGTCTTCAGTTCAGTGATCTTGAATGAAAGTGATTAAAATGCATGGCATATTAGAAGGAGGAATATGCTGAAAAATTGACATTCTCAAAATCCTTGGAGGGAGTACAAATGGAGTGATGGTTGCCTTGCTGTACTACTGTGCATTCTGGAAAGCCTAAGGAACCTTCAGAAGTAGAGATTTCCACATGGAGCTTCCAATAACACAAGTTCCTCATTTTGCCTGAAATTTCTTATATACCAATAAGCTAATTTATTCCCTGCATAAACTGC